AGCTGACCTCAAATGTACATTTTCCATATGCGTGTGTGCTTTACTTGTTGTTAATTTATGCATTTTCTCAGTGACTTGGTAAATGTTTATTTTTAGGGAAAAGAAAAAAGATCATTCACCTAAAGACTTACTGTGCATTCAAACTATTCGAAGAGCAAGGACAGCAAAGAAGGTAAATGTTGTATCACATTATGCTGAGGAAAACTACTGCAATTAAGCACCAACTTTTTCTTAGTCCTGAATCCTAGGAACAACATATCAGACAGAGACGATTGAATGACGTCTCAATCCCAGGTTCCTCTCATGGTCTTTTTTATAAGAGATTCCCAATAAAAGCTGAGAAGACAATGTAAGATCATGATGTTAGGAAGATATTTTTTCTTATTTTTTATTTTTAGTAACTTTTAATATTAACATATTATTTCAAATTTACAGACATGTTCCAAAAACATTACAAAGAACTCTGATTTACCCAAGTTCTCCAATTATGAACACTTTACCACATTTGCTTTATCATCATCTTCTCTCTTCCCTTCTCTTTCTCTTTTTCCTTGACCATTTGAGAGTAAATTGCAGACACTGATGTCCTTTTACTTCTAAATACCTATGAAAGTATTTTTGTGTGAAACTAGAATAATATAGCACAGCTGTGTGGCTTTCCCAAATACCAGATTATATGGAAAGAGGTTAGTGGGGCAAACAGGTTGGAAGGGGAGGAGGGCTGAGAAACCTTGTGCTAAGATTCACTGATTTAGCAAGTGACTGTCTTTTTATTAGATTTATTTAGGTCGATAAAATTAGCAAAATCTCCGAAGCAGCTTCTATCCACACTTTACATAGGATGGAGAAAACATCATTGTCCACATCAAATTATACAAATGGAAGGGGAGGCTCCTAGCCCCAACTGTCCTATCCCAAGAAACCCCAGGATCACCACCGCTTCATCTCTACAAAGGTACAGAGTCCAGGGGTCGTTGCAGGCATGCAGAGTATTTTGTCAACTCTAAAATGCACTTAAAAAGAAAACAATTTTAACATCTCTGAAATCAGAATATGTTTCACAGTCAATGGCATAATTACTATCAATAGCTCCCCTGCCTTTATGTTAGTACATAAATAATGGTGCATCCTACAAATGATCACCTCTCAGATTAATGAAATAAGGTATATATTTTAGCTGTGCAATTCTCAGCCTGTGTATTACCAGGAGGAAAGAAGCAAAAGCTGGTCAGGTGGGGCAAAGGGTGTTGGTATTAACTCCTAAGGATCCTCTCAATCCCCAGCCCATGGATCCTACCGCTCCCCCCTCTGCTGTACTCTCAGCCGCCTTGGACACTTGGTGTGTCTCCTTTTTCGTTTCTCTGCCTACAGAGTGTGTGTCTGGTTACTGATTCTTGCCCACCCTTCACGTCAAAGACTTGTCAGAGATTGCTGCTTCTACTCCACTCTCTTCTCAGTGCATGTATATATGTGCGTTTGGAGGGGGTGGGAGGAGCACAGCGTCTACTTATAAAATCCAGACAGGGATTAGGCTAGAGAGTAAGCCCATGAAGAAAACCAGCTTCTAGCATGATGACATCAGGGATGGGCTTTCCTGGATACTGGCTCCAGGTGTAGTGCAACTATCTCATTCGCTGATTTAAAATAATAATAAAAAAGTTGGGGTCATCCTTCAACCCAAAGGGGATGCATGAGAACTGTGGAGGCTCTAATCTTTGGTTTCCTGGTATGTCCTTTCCCTGCCGTCCTTTTTCCTCAGAACAGACCTAACCCCTTGGCTACAGAGATGGCCTGATACTGGCCTGGCATGTAGGCATCCTTCCAGGGGCCTGTAAAATGACCTTGGCAGAGATATTCTCTTTTTCTTGGGATGGTTAATCTGAGGCCGCCCACAGCCAGCCTTCCCACATGAAGGGAGTGTGCAGAACAAAGCCCAAGCAGAGACCAGCATGGCAGGGATAGGAGAGAGCAGCCCCAGATTCTCTGTTATGTGAAGTACCACAGTCATCCTTCCCTGCCCATGAGCCAGTGTGGGCATTCCTGTCCTGCTTAAACAAGCTTAAGCTGGGTTTCTGTTCTTTGGAATCAGTACAATACAGGGTGTTTTAAACCTCTACTTTACACTTTTTCTCTAGCTTAACTGTTCTTTTGAAAGTTATTTGCAGCACACAATTGCAGTTTGAGATGGGGAGGTGGGTTGAAATCCCCATATTCTGTGTTGACTCCCAGGGCCTTGGAGGCTGGCTTTGGTGGAGAAGTTGTGTTGACAATTCAACAGCCTGGGGTGGCTTCTCACTAGAGGGAGGCCTTACTTTAAGCTGCGTCAGGGATACCCAAAGGCCACTTTTGATTCACCTAAAGTCTTCATCAGGTACCAGATGGACCTTCCAACAGAGGTCTACCCCACAGAGCCTGGGAGAACCTGAGGCCTGCAAATTCTGAAGAAGGTGTTCCCATAGCCTGTCATTTGGTTTGTCGTAATTGATAAGGGCCTATCTTTCTGAAAGCATTCGCCCAACTGGTTCTTCTGCTTTTTAAAGGTATGTCCTAGAACAAGAGCTGAGGCCCAAGGCACCATAGCCTGGAGGATATGCTTGAACTATTTGCTGTGGTAGGAAGGTGGGCATCTAGTTTATCTAAAAACTTCATGGCCTTAACAGGAGGTCTTAGAACAGCCTCATTTTATACTTTATAAGATAGGAATTGACTTGGGTTAAAGACAGTCTCCATTCACTATGATGCTGGTAGAGATACTGTGATTAAAGGCTTTCAGGAATGTTGGTAGCTCAGAATTGGCATTAGCTCCTAGACAATTTCCATCTACTAAATTAAAGTCTAGTGATTGATGCATGCAGCAGTCTTGAATTATTAGACAAGGGTCTTGCTAAAGCTGGACATTGTAAGGTTGCTATGAAACGCATTTCAGAGGATAGGTAGGCCAATACACTCTGGGAAACCAGAGCTGATCTACCCAGTTGCTCAAAAACTAACTTCATTATGGATCTGAGTACTCCATTATGGTGTGTGACATCATTTCCAGAGAACCTCTCAAAAACTACTGAATGGAAACTTTAAAAAAACATGTTTTTTTTCTTATCAGGTCAGATTTTTTATTTGTTGGTTTCAGTTGCTTAAGAAGTCAGACTCTTTTCAGATGCTCCTTTATTTTTCTTTCAGATTTAACCAGTTATTCCAATGTTAGGTATGAGGCACAGTCCACAGCCTCCCTCATATAAAACCAATTTCCAGTTCTTTGTCATCTCAGAATTCTCAGTTCTGTAAACAAAAATAACTATTAAAATTATTCTTCCAGCCATTTTTTTTTTAGCAGGCAGGAAAGAAGGCATTTATGCATATATTCTATCCCAATATCCTTTTATCTAAGGATTTCTTTCCTTATAAACCTGTATAACGGGTACAGAGTGGAACTTCATGAGTTCAAACCCTGGCTCCATCTCTTGATAGCTGGTGAGAGAGAAGGTAGGGAGGTAGAAAAAAACCCCACTTTGACCATTTAATCATTTCAATCATTTCCTTGGAAAGAGGAATCATTTGAGAACATATGAGTGTAACTGTATTATTATAGTGTGTGTGATCTTGAGTAAGTCACGTAACCTCTCTGAACCCCCGTTTCCGCATCTGTAAACGGTAAACAATAGAGATTCCAAACTCAGGGAAAGCTCAAAGCTCAGGGTTGTCACGTGGTAAACGCGCAAAACTTATATTTACTTTTGAGGACACCAGAGGTCCGGAGGTACAATTGCTACCTAGTTAACTATCACACAACCCACCTTTCCCTAGCTTGTGGAGAAGGCTTTTTCTCTTCAGGGAGTTGAAAATACTTTGTACCAGCCGGTAGGAAGGGCGCAGCCGGCCGGTAGGCTACCGCCGCCCCGGCACCTGCGGCTTCCTCTTTGAAGGAAGCGTCCCCACCTCCCGCGCGCGCGCCCAGATCCGGCCTTCGGGTGGTGGCCCGGGCGGCCGCCTCGCTGACCCGGCAGGCGCGGCTGTGCGTGCGCCGCGGAGGGTGGTGGCGGCGCGCACCCCGCCCTCGGCCCCCGCCCCCGCCGCCGCCTCGGCGTGTCAGGTGCCGTGAGAAGCGCCCAGGGATATGACTGGTGCCGACTTTCCAGAAGCAGAAGCACGCAAGCCCGAGCTCCGCACGCAAGGGGGAGGCGACAGCAGAGAAACTTTTCAACCCGATGGAGTTCTCAGGCGCGCGATTTGTCTCCTCCTCCTTCCAGAGAATTTCAGAGCGCTCTCCCTCCCCTCCTTGCCCCGGTGTTCGCCCCACCTTGGCTCCCGGCCCTGCGGCCAGGGCCTGGGACGCGGCCAGCGCGGCCCCGCGTCCTCCAGTGGGCGGCGCCACCTGGAGGTGTTTCTACGCTCGAACCTCAGGGCCAGTGCCGGCCTTTGTGCGCCAAGCACAGTCGGGGCCCTGGGGCGGAGGACAGGCGATCTTTAGGGATTCTTGATCTCGCCGCACGAGATGGAAGAACTTTGTGCGCCAAAGGGCCTTATCTGAGGAACCGATTTGTTTGCGAGAACGTTATGAAAAAAAAAGAAAAAACTAGGGATGCTGTAAGGCGAACCTTTCCAAACTCACAGGTTTCCTTTCTTGGCTCGGGCGCCTAAAGATTCCGCGCTGTTTTCTCTAGGGGAACGAAGTTCAAGTCACTGCGCGAGAAGAGGTCGTGCGCTCGGGACACGGCGCGCTCCCAGGGACAGCGCAGCGGGATTGGTCAGGTTCTGTCCCTAGTGCACTTCCAAGGAAACAGTGCGGCCTCGATTGGGGGTGACTATAATTAAGAGTGGTTTTCGGACAAACTGCCACAGCTAGCAAAGCTGCCAGCTACTGCGCCGAGGCCGTCGGGGTGCACGGCGGCCGCCTCGCGCGACCGTCAGCGCGCGGGAACCCCTGTCGGTGTCCATGCAGCGGGAATGGTCCCGCAAGCCCCGCCCCCGAAAGCCCCGCCCCACCAGGTCGTGCTGCCTCCACCCCCTACACAGACCTTAAAAACCAGAGAAGTGGATGGCGCATTCTGACTCTCTGGGGTGACTGTGTGCAAACGGGATACACCTCTGCAACTCAAGCTGTCCGAGCCGCGCGGGGGTCGTGAGGGCTGGGTATTTATTCCACTCGACCCCCAGTCTTAATCCCCACGCTGTGAGAAAACCCCGACTTTGCCAAGGCCCCAAGGTGCAGCGCTGCTGGACAAAGGAGGCACTGTCCTCCGTTCCCATCCTAATCCAAGCACCCCTGCCTCTGACGACGCCTAGAGACTCCAGAGTGGGCGCTAAAGCTCCCAAAGCTGGTAGCAGGTGTCCAGGGCGGGCTCCGTTTTCCTCAGGACACCCTGGTTGACGTTTTGCCTTTCATAAAGGCCCCAGCCTGCTTTCGGAGCCCGCAGTCCCGTGCCGCTGGAAACTGCGTCTCCTCGCAGGTCAGTGCATCCGCCGAGCGGCCTTCCCAGCGGCCTTGTGTGATGTGTTCTCGCAGACCAGGGTACGGGTGGCGCAGAAGCCGGGGTGGTGGGCACTTAGTGAGCGCTACTGCCTTGATGCCCTGAATTGCAGGAACCGTTACGCGGCTGGGGTGGGGCGAGGAGTCTGGGTCACCGAGAGGCGGAAACAAGCCCCTTCCCTTCTCCTTTGGGAAATGGGTTTGGGGTGGGAAGTGGCATTTTCGGCGGCCTCTCCAGTGAGCCAGTCCTGACCTGACCTACGTACGACCTCCTCCCTACCCAACAGCGCACGGTGGCCCGAGGATGGGTACACGGTAGGGGCATGGGGCGCCCGCTCCTTTCTCCGCACACCTGAGTGTCACGCTTTCGTCCTTCTCTCTCCAGCATGGCCACCAACTTCAGCCCGGACGATCCTCTGCCGCCGGGCCCGCTGTCGGCCCAGCAGACCACGCTCCTGCTGTTCCTCTCGGTGCTGGCCGCGGTGCATGTGGGCCAGTGGCTGAGGCAGCGGCGGCGACAGCCGGGGTCCGCGCCCCCCGGCCCCTTTGCGTGGCCGCTGATCGGAAACGCCGCAGCTCTGGGCCCGGCGCCGCACCTCGCTTTCGCGCGCCTGGCGCGGCGCTACGGCGACGTCTTCCAGATCCGCCTGGGCAGCTGCCGGGTGGTGGTGCTGAACGGCGAGCGCGCCATCCGCCAGGCCCTGGTGCAGCAGAGCGCCGCCTTCGCTGACCGGCCTCCCTTCGCCTCTTTCCGCGTGGTGTCGGGCGGCCGCAGCCTGGCTTTCGGCCAGTATTCCCAGCTCTGGAAGGTGCAGCGGCGCGCGGCGCACAGCACCCTGCGAGCCTTCTCCGCTCGCCAGCCGCACAGCCGCCGCGTCCTCGAGGGCCATGTGCTGGGCGAGGCGCGCGAGTTGGTGGCGCTGCTGGTGCGCGGCAGCGCGGGGGGCGCCTTCCTGGACCCGCGGCCACTGACCGTGGTGGCCGTGGCCAACGTCATGAGCGCCGTGTGCTTCGGCTGCCGTTACAGCCACGACGACGCCGAGTTCCGCGAGCTGCTCAGCCACAACGAGGCGTTTGGGCGCACCGTGGGCGCGGGCAGCCTGGTGGACGTGCTGCCCTGGCTGCAGCGCTTCCCCAACCCTGTGCGCACGGCGTTCCGCGAATTCGAGCAGCTCAACCGCAACTTCAGCAACTTTGTCCTGGACAAGTTCTTGAGTCACCGCGAAAGCCTACGGCCCGGGGCCGACCCCCGCGACCTGATGGACGCCTTCATCCTCTCGGCGGGAAAAATGGCGGTAGAAGGCTCGGGCAACGGTGGCGCGCGGCTGGACGTGGAGTACGTGCCGGCCACTGTCACTGACATCTTTGGCGCCAGCCAAGATACTCTCTCCACCGCGCTGCAGTGGCTGCTCATCCTGTTCACCAGGTAAAGCCTCCAGGAGGCGTGGACCGGACCTTCCCTTCCTCTTCTGTAAAAGGCAGAGTAGGACAAGAATATGCTGAGGTCGTGACCAGCGCCCAGGGTTGGGGTTTCGCTTCAGGTCCCCACTAATCATGTGCCAGATCATGTTCGGGAAGCGCAGCTCAGGAAAAGCACAACGCGGGCGGAGAGGGGCGCGCACACATACCACCGAGGGAGCCCCGGCCGCTCAGCATTTCTGACCCGCCAGCTACCATTCCGAGTGGGAACAATTTGTGAGAACCCCCCCCGAAAAAATAAGATTTTCAAAGTGCTCGCATATCAGCCCTGATCTCTTCCTCCTTAGCAAAGGAGAATCAAAATTGGAACTATTCCGAAAGAACGGGTAACGCAGTAAATATGTTAAGTAAACACAGCAGCCCAATCGGCTCCGCCAGTAGTCAGCGCGGATCCGAGACCGCCCAGCCCTGGTGCTAAAAGCCAGCCGTGCGTCCGGGCTTTGCTCCCAAGCAAAGGAAGCGCTGGGAGGTCAGCCCTGAGGCCCGCAGGCCTGGCCCCGCAGACAGTTAACCCGAACTGAAGTTTAGGAAGGCGGCCAGAAACCAGCGGGCTGTATTGGGTTTATAAAACCGCAGCGCTATTGTAGCAGTAGTGCCGGGGTAAAGAAACGGCAGCATCTAGAAAGGCAAAAAGGGAAGTCACGAGGCGCCTGCAGACCTTTCTGGCCCCCTGGTCCTGACTCAGTTGGTTAGCCGGTCCCCAGTACCCACCTTGATTAAGGTCTCAGACTTCTATGAGGCTCAGTGCACGCACAAATCGAACAGGTTTCAGGTATCGGAATTTGCTAGCAAATTGATACATTTTACATAAGACATACTTACGCTAGAAGATTAGCCATTGTTTATCTGAGCTTCAGATTTAGCTGGGCGGCCTGTATTTTTTCTGGCTAACCCTACCCTTGGGGCCAGAAATCCTTGAGAGACCAGAAATCCTGGTTGTGCCATTCCTTGGCACATAAGCAAGCGATGAGAGATGCCAAATTTGCTGGCGCTCCAGAAACTGGAAGGCAAAGACAGCTTCTTTTCATATTAGAATTCACTGCAACCTATATTTCCTAAGCTACTATACAGCTACTCTTACAAATTGAATTTTTCTGTATATTTAAAATCGATTTTCAATATTAAGATCCTGTATAAAGTCAATAATAGGCCAGGAAAAAGACATCCCAATCTGGGATCAATAGGTCTTTTGCATCTCCCTTAAGTATATTATCTTTAGAAACATCCTTTCTGTTTCATTAGAAACTGAATTGGGCAGCAAAAGAATATAAAATTTGGGTCACTTTAGATTCAGTATAGCTGATATGTTTTTCTTCTTTTTAGTGAAAAGACAATATGACAGGTGTTGGCAAATCACACTACCTATTTTTGTATATAAGATTTATCATAGTATGGCCATGCTGACTCATTTACGTATTATCTATGGCTGTTTTCACATTATGGCACAAGGCAGGGTTAAATAGCTGCAACATAGAAGGTTTGGTTAGCAAAGCCTAAAATATTTACTGTCTCGCTCCTTATGAAAAAGTTTGCAAACGTCTGAAGTATGATGCCAATGAAGCAATTTTTAAAATCACCCATAATTTCAGCACATACATTGCTTTAATTTTTTTTAGAGTTGCAGTATTTACATTTTTTTTACTTTTGATGTTTCTCCATCTTTTAAACTTTATTTTAGTAATTTTTGATGGCTACATAATATTTTGCCATAACATATCATCATGTTAACGATTTCTTGATCTTTTATGTTGTTGATTGCCTTTTAAAAAATTTCAGCTATTGTTGTGATTATATATTTTAGTACCTGTTATTTGCTAAAAATACATTTCCAGGCATGAATTACTGGGCTAAAAAAGGGAAGAGGGGTCATCTTCATGGATCTTGCTTTGTACTAAGCTTTTGTTTTCCAAAAGCATTGTACTAGTTTGTATCACCAGCAGTGAATAAGTATTGTAGTTTGTACCATAATACCATAATATCATGAACACTAGAAGTTCGCCTTTAAATATTTAGGAGATATGTAGCTTTTTTATTATGAGAGCAATTATCTTTGAATAAAATGAGAACAGTGTATCTGTTAGAATTGTCTAGGGAGATGAGGGGATAAAAAGGGTCTGCTTTAAGCACTGCATTTAGACTTTCGTGGGTTCTAGGCTCTTTTGCCTTTGTAGATGCCTTCCTCCATAAAAACATTTAACTGTGTGTTATGACTACATTGCTATAAACATACTCAAATTATATACTAAGATGTTTTCTTTTGATTTTTAAAGAAATGAAAAGACTTCCATGGACCCCTGAAAAGTATTGTGGGTCCTGATCCCTGGGCTTCCTATGCCAAATGGAGAAGCCAGCCTTGGCCTAAAATTATCATGCTTTTTCAGGCTGAGAAAACTTAGACATTTTGTGACTTACGATAGGGAGAACATTAGCCGTGTGAGGTTTATTACCAGAAATACAATGATCAATTTGTCCATCTTGTAATTTAGTGAGACATTAGGAAACTGTCTTAACATTCTTGGGGGGAGGGGCAGAAATGTTAATTTAGTCACTGATTTAGATAAAGAAAAGTGGAATTAAAATAAATTGTAATGTGCTTTCTAGATGAAAGAAGAATTCATTTTCCTCACCTTTTTTCTCCCTCTGCCTTGAAACCCAAACAGATACCCTACAGTGCAGGCTCAGGTACAGGCAGAAGTGGATCAGGTCGTGGGGAGAGAGCGTCTACCCTGCTTGGACGACCAGCCCAAGCTGCCCTACGTCATGGCCTTTCTTTATGAAGCCATGCGCTTCTCCAGCTTTGTGCCCGTTACCATTCCTCATTCCACTACTGCCAGTGCCTCTGTCTTGGGCTACCACATTCCCAAGGACACAGTGGTTTTCGTTAACCAGTGGTCCGTGAACCATGACCCAGTGAAGTGGCCTAACCCAGATGACTTTGATCCAGCCCGGTTCCTGGACAACAATGGCCTCATCAACAAGGACCTGGCCAGCAGCGTCATGATTTTTTCAGTGGGCAAACGGCGGTGCATTGGGGAAGAGCTTTCCAAGGTGCAGCTGTTTCTCTTCATCTCCATCCTGGCCCACCAGTGCAATTTCAAGGCCAATCCAGACGAGCCCTCGAAAATGGATTTTAATTATGGCCTGAGCATTAAACCCAAGCCATTTAAAGTCAATGTGACCCTCAGAGAGTCCATGGAGCTCCTTGATAGTGCTGTCCAAAAGTTCCAAGCTGGGGAAGACTGCCAGTAGGAAACTAGAAGCGAGCTGATATGGTAGAAGTGGAGTAAAATTTGGGGGATGGGGAGTAACATTTTCTAGCCCCTCTGTGCCACTTTCTCAATTTGCCTTAGAGGTGAGCATAAACCAACTGACCCACAGATGATGTGTTTCACACACATGTGCTCAGATGAGCACTGGGCTAGGCAGGAGCTACAGGAAGATTTTTTGAGGCAGCATTAAAGGGCCCAAAGAATTTTTATATATATCTCAAATGTTGGTAATAATAATTTCTCGAGGGAGCATTCTTTGGAGTTAAAACACACATGCATGCACACACAAAACTACCCAATGAGGAAATACTTCAGTAACCATGCATTCATGGGTGGGATCCAAGATTGATGCTCCTTGTACAGAAATTAGTTCCATGGAAAACTATATTAAGCAAAGTTTCAGAATATATTGTCAAACATGCAAAGGCAAATAATTTCAGTGTAAGACATATGATTGAGGGTGATAAGGAAAAAGGTAAGGACCAGACATTCCCTTCTTACCTTTTCAATAAAATAGGCTCTAGTGTCTATGGAGGGACTTATCTTTTTGCCTACTGGTATGCTTTCTCTTACTTTTTTGCATGAGTCAAATGGTCATTTTGCTCAAAAAGAAATTAATAGTAGAAGATTTAGTGGTTATAGTGGGTTTCAGTGATTTACCATGAATTTTAAAGTGTAAGTTGCTAAACTGTAAAAATTCCAAACTGAAGTCATATCTGTCTTTGTTGCCAAAGTACAGAATTTCAATTATGAGCAAAAAAAGAAAAAAAAAGATTTAACAGCCCAGCTAAGCTTTAAATTATGTGATTGTAGTGCACTGATTTCATTAAGTCTTGTAGGTTAAAAATAAAGTCACTAAATAATATTCAATATGTATACATATATAATTATTCATAAGCAGTATATATTAGGTATTGCATTAAATAGTATTAATTATTTTAGTCAAGCAAAGTTTGGAAAAGTGTATGTCTTTTATAATGTCATAGCAAATCATATAGTACAACCAATTCAACTAATTTTGGGCTCAAATACATGAAATGAGCTTGATTAAATCAATCATATATATATATTTTTGACATGGAAACTTTTTGAAATTGATCTGGTTAGTATGTTATGATTTCAAGCTTTTGGCATGCTTAAATTTTAATTGTAAATTCTGGTAATCGACTTCTAGTTGAAGTTACTGGGAATCTGACCGTTAGGCTGTGAAAAGCAGGGAAATTTAACCTGTGTCTGCCTGATGAATAACGAAAAATTCAGTGACTTATCTGGATGTTCTCTTTATTAGGTATCAAGGGGGGAAATTTCCATTACAGGAGGCCTAGTTTCTTTTTCAAATGGTTTTTAAAAAGTAACGTTGTGTTTTGGAAAGTCAGAATCAGACGGTAGTCTTAGGAGTCTGTTTTGAGGATTGCACTGTGTTCCTGTGGAGCTGATCAGATGGGTTGTGCCGTTCAGGATGGTCAAGCCAGCGAGCAGTCACTTTGCTAACTGTGAAATTGTAAAGCTCGAACAAAATATATGTTCAGTTTATCTAAATAATCTGAAAACCTTACAAAAATGCGATGAAAGATTGCAGAGGTACAAAGTGAAGTTGGAGGTTTTAACTTTCACAGCACATAAACTTCCAAAGGAAGTGAGCTTACTGCTTATTACATTTTATTAAAATGATTTTGGGAATCTTTTCATCAAAATTATAAAGGAAAGTACATGATAGTTGCATCAGGGGGTGGTAAGAGAAAAGAGGGAAAAATGAAAAGGAAGAAACATGATTAAGCATTTCCCCCACCAATTACAAATTCATTATTTTGAAGCATGGACATTTAGAAAAAAGATGTTTCATGTGCTAATGTTAAATCCCAAGTGGCCTTTCTTTTTGAAGATTAGCAACACAGAAGATCTATTTTGAATTTGGGATTTTTACATTAAACATTTCATATAATTTTAATTATAAAGTTTCATAGCTGCACCTCTCGAATGTGGAAAACTGTACCAGTATTTTTAAAGGCACTAAAGTCAACTATAGAAAGCAGGCTTACCCAATGCATTTAAACTTTTTGGCACTGGCTATTCCAAAACATTACCTCCCTGTCCCCCAGTTGTGCTGAGACAGTGATTTGGGGCTGCCCTAGCATATTTACTTTGAGAGATGTGTGGCAGCAAAAGTAATCATGTACCAATCAGGACGCCTCATTAAGTGAACCAGGTCCAGATGTGCTAAAATCTGTTTTAATGCACATAGGCTCAGTTCCTCTGGTGTTTTTGGCAATTGGAAAGCTGTGCTTATATAGAGGAAAGTAAGGTGGGCACTTGGCAGTTACCTGGTTTATTTAATATGTTTATAATCTATTAAAGGAAAGAAAGCAAAAGCAAAACCAAACAAAAATAACCAAATTTGGGGGCTCCAGTAATTGGGTTACTGGCTTAATCAGGAAACCTCATTTTATTTGTGTCAGAGAAAGACTGTATTCTCTGGTCACCATTAGAGTCAGAACATCTACTCTAGGTTATTGTAATAAGGTATATTATTTATTAAATACTTCTTTATATATTAAACCTTTGACTTTGTAAGAAAATTGCTTTTGCCCAAAACAAAAGATGTCTCAGGTTTGTTTCATGGATTATCTGAAAGCTTTTATGTCTCAGAACTTAGCCTTTACCTGTGAAATATTATTAATTGCCTTAATATTTCATATTAGATCTATATTAGATCAAATAGTTACATAGCATTATATATTAATTTGTATGCTTTTAGCTATAATACAGCTGTGATGGAAAGGTATTCTTTAGATTTGTTTAACTCATTTATCAAGATGAACTCTCTAACTTTTTCTTGCATTTTATCATATATTCTTTTAACATGTATATAGCAACTATAATACATAGTTGTAACTGAAATAGATTTGGGGACACAGCATTAATATGTAACTTTTGTTCTTTGATATGCCAAATTAAAAAAATTTTGTATCTATAGTTACCTATACACAATTACCAAAACTGTATCTGTATTTACAGGACACCATTACCAAAATAATAAAAGTCACTTTCATAATCTTGTTATGAAGTTTTACTTTATGTTTTAGCAAATATAGTCTAATGCATTTCTTTATTTCAACTACTATTTGTAAGTGCTTGAATTAAAATGTTGCACTGTAAACATTTTATTTGGCCATTCTACATTTTAGGCTGCTTGCTTTTTTTTTTTTTTAA